CCCAAAACCCCAAAACCCCAAAACCCCAAAACCCCAAAACCCCAAAACCCCGATATGCCAATTATTTATGAATAGAAAAGAAATTTATAATATAATAGAGCGAACTCTTCATTCATTTAATGCGATTATGATAAAACTAAACTTTAAATTTACTATAGAGAATTTATATGTGTTAAGAGTTGCTACTTTTAAGGAGATATCATTTTAGAGATAAATAAATCAATCCTCCTCGTCATCCAGCACAATAGATTGCTCTACCTCCTTCTTCTTTTTGCCTTTCCCCTTTTTACCTTTCTTTTTGCCTGACTTTGAAGTTGAATTCATGTCGTTGCTGACTACATTTGCTTAAAAGTTAGCGAAGCCACCAGTTTCTGTAAGTGGCATATCTTGAAGACCTGCTACAGCTCCTCCTTTACTTATGGTAGGAAACATGCCTGGTGCCTTTTGCTAAGGCATTTATTAAGGCATCTAGCCCATCATCATAGGATTGTTCATCATCATAGGATTCATCATAGGGTTCATTCCACCTCCCATCATCATCGGATTATTCATCATATTCATTTACTACATTTGCTAGAATTGAGCCATCATTACTTGCATTTATTCTGGTGACATCTACGGGAATCCATTATTAGCTCCTGAAACACCTGGTAATTAATTTTGTACAGGATTTTAAGGGGTTATGAAATCCATTTACTATTAAGCACCAGCTCCTGCTGAGTACTTTTAAACTTTTCCCTCTGGATGGACTGGGGCTCCACTCTTTGCTTTCACAGGAACTTATTTCTTATTAAGCTCACCTTCTTCGTCTTCATCATCATATTCTTCATCATCTTCATCATCATCATTCTTGTCATTATCAAAGATCTTCTTCTTCTATGCTTTCTTCTGTCTGATATTTTTAACACCATTGGATTCTTCTACAAGCTATTACTCTTGCTTCCTCTTGTGTTGTCTGATCAGATAGAAAATAAGAAATCCAAGTAAAGCTAGGAAGCCAAGACCTCCTACTACTACTCCAATAATTAAAGGCCAATTCGTTGAAGATGAAGAGCTAGTAGTACCACTTGTTCCACCATCACCTGGAATTACCACCACTTCTTTGTCTTTAAATGAAAATGTTTGAAATTATACGCTGGCACCAGCTACTTTAGATTTGACTATGATATATAGGTATTCAGAATCACTAAATGAATCAAATTAGTAGTTTGTAACAGCAGTTGGAAGATAGGAATTTGTTTTAGTAGCAGTAAAAAGTCTCGTACCTCTATGAATAGCAATATCTGCACCTGCAATAAAAGTTATATTTAGAGCAAGTGATTGCTTAGTTCTTTGTTTTACAATCACATATACACAAGTTTAGCTGGCAGCAATGCCAGACCCAGTTGAAATAACAGTAGGAGTGGATCTTGCAATGATAAAATTATCCTTAAACCTTGCATCATATTCTGCATCTGAAGAAGTTTAAGGAGTAGAAACAGTTCCACATACAGAGGCTTGGTAAGGACATACTATGAAATTTAAATAATTCTTATCTATTGTAACACTATTGTATGTTCCAAACTATGATGAGCAATTTGAAAACGAAGTACTACAAGGTTATCTATTCTCAGTTGAAGTACAGCATATTCCAGCAACATTATTCTTAGCACAAAATTATCTTCCTGTGAATTTAATACAGGAATCACAATCCATTTAAGAACATGTCCATAAATCTCGACTTTCCTCTATATTTTAACTTATCTCCTCTTCATTTAAATTATGAATATTATTGCCATCTTATAAATCTTGACTAAATGCGTAGCTTAACACAAGAAAAAGAGGTAAAACTTTAACTTTGGTAGTAAATGTCGGAAGATAATAATAGAGTTTCGACATTATCTTAATTTTTAAACTTATAAATAGTTGTTGATTAATTTCATTGAATTCTATTCCTGTTCTCATTTTTATTTGAGGGGTTTTGGGGTTTTGGGG